CCTCGATCCCAGAGCTTCTTTTTTCAGTAGAAGAGTGGCCTAATATACCAGAAGAAACAATAGCAAACTTGATTAGATCTATGCCTAATCGTATGAGAGATGTTGTTAGGGCAAGAGGGGGTCATACCCGTTATTAAAAATTAAGTGTTAATTAAGATAATTGTCAATAACCGTATTTCTTTTATAAATAAAAAAAGTTAATTTGTTTCATGCTTTGTTACACTTAAGAAGCCAAAATAAATTTAAATAAATTTAATCTTAACTTAAGGCTTATTAAGTTGTCTTTCAAACAGCATATTTCTTTTTTTGATCTGATGAATAGTTATTAAAAGAAATATAGTTAAAGTCAAAAGTTTACAGTGCACTGCAGTGGGCCGATTTCTATGATGATGACCCTGGAATATTCGGGAAGGCGCTTGCGTGGCTTGGGTCACGTAAGCATTGAATATATAAGGCACGGCGAAGCGTCGAAGAGTTAGTCAAGCTTTGGTACTCGCGACGAAATAAGGGCCAGGAAGGTAAAAAATTCTAGCGATTTAAAAGTCGATTTACAACAAAAGATTCTGGAAAATGTCAACGATTTCAAGGATGATTTGCAACAGAAAATGCTGGAAAATTATAGCGATTTACAACAGAAAATTCTGTAAAATTCTAAAAATTTAAAGGAATGTTTGGAACAGAAGATTCTAGATAATGTAAAAATTGAACGAGAAATTGGAAGTCAAATAAAAGAAATAAATAGTAAATTGACGGCTGTTAATTTATCCATGATGCTGGCGGAACCAGGAACAGTGCCGGATGGGAGCCGAGTTCGGATGAAACCACCTCAGTTCGAACCTGTAACCAGCATCCCCAAAAGATATCGAACTTGTTGCTTCCCATATACACCAGTCCAGCAGTGTTTTTGTGGATTGTTTTATTAAGGTGCGACGAAGACAATTATTAGGCCAGATATTGTCGAAATGTCCAAGATCAAATCTACCAATATGCGACTAAGTACTGCAACAAGAGATACTGCTACTGTTCGTGGAGAAGTGGACATCACGATGGTCATAGGAAACACGAAATTTAAACATTGAGCATTAGTAGCAGATATTGAAGATGAAGTTATTGTAGGCATGGACATTATGAACTCTAAAGGATTTGAACTAAACTTTGAACAAGGAATATTGAGGGTAAATGGGGAGGAAGTCGTGTTGCATCGATCGAAAGAGAAGAATATTCGTGTAATGCAAACAGAAGATGCTTTGATACCAGAACACAGCGAGATGATATTGAAGGCTTTCTTGGATTGTAAATCAGAAGATAGAAGTACAATGCTTCTGAATTGATGACAAAGAGGTCGGTCGAGGAATTGTAGTAGGGAAGACTTTAATACGTGTCGGAAAAGAAGTGCCTGTAAGAGTATTGAGTGTTAATGGTTACTCTGTGAACTTGAAGAAATTGTTTTGGGAAACTGTTCTTCGGTTTCCTCGATTATTAGAGGCATTCGTTACGGTTACTGGCAGGTTGAAATGGCACCAGAAGATAGAGAAAAGACGGAGTTTACTGAGGCTGCAGGACTGTGGCAGTTTACTGTCATGCCGTTTGGACTATTTAATGCCCCTGCAACTTTTAAAAGGCTGATGGAAATGGTTTTGAAGGGACTATCCTGGAAGACATGCTTGTGGTTGGGAAATCATTTGAGGACCATATGAGGAACCTGAAGGAAGTCTTTCAGCGCCTAAGAAGTTCTGGCCTGAAGCTAAGCCCGCAGAAATGTCACTTGTTCCAGAGGGAAGTGCAGTATTTGGGCCATGTATAGCAGTGGATAAACAGAAGGTAAAGACGGTGCGGGATTGGCCAATACCGAAGAATAAACATGATTTAAGAAGCTTTCTTGGATTATGCACCTACTACCGTCGGCACCTACCAGGATTCGCAAAGGTTGCTAAGCCTTTGATACGAGTGCCAAGAAGCCTTTAAGAACCTAAAAAACACGTTGACCAGCTCAACAGTCCTGAGTTATCCTCTTCCGGATGATGAATTTATTTTGGACACGGACGCCAGCAATGTGGGACTGCAGTCCCATGGGAGCTGTTTTGTCGCAGATTCAAAAGGAAAAAGAGAAAGTTATTGGATACTTCAGTAAAACTTTATCCAAACCAGAACGTAATTGCTGCGTTACTCGACGAGAGTTGTTGGCAGTGGTAAAATCAGTCGAAAACTTTTACAAGTACCTGTATGGAAGAAAATTCTTGCTAAGAACGAATCATGCTGCCCTAAAATTGCTTTTGCGATTCAAGAATCCTAAAGGACAGGTAGCAAGATGGATTGAGAGACTACAGGCATCAGGCTGGGACCATCCATATAGAAATGCTAACGCCTTGTTAAGAAGACCGTGCCCGGAAGACTGTAAACATTGTCTCAGGGCCGAAGAAAAGGATGTGTTTATTCGCAGGACTACACTTGTGGATGATCATTGGCAGTCCGATGAGGTTCAACAAGACCAGGAAGGGGACCCAGATTTGAAGCCCATTATCGACTGGAAGAAGAACGACCAAAAACCAACGTGGCAGGAAGTCGCCCAATACTCGCCGAATGTGAAATCATAATGGGCCCAATGGAATTCCATAATCTTAAGTGAAGGACTTCTAAAGCGCGTTCTGGAGACTCCAGGGGGGAAGACCAGAAGCAGTTAATAATCCCCAGAAACAGGATACCAGAAGTGCTACTGGAAATCCATGATACTGGAGGACATCTTGGGGTGACGAGGACTTAGGGAACGGTTTTATTGGGTTAATTGTCAACGAGATGTAAAGGAATGGTGCAAGAAGTGCGCCGTTTGCCCGGCAAGCAATGGACCCCAGAAGCGCCCAAAAGCTCCAATGTCGGCAGCCCATTTGAGAGAATCGCAATCGACGTTGCGAGTCCATTTCCGGAAACAGAATCTGGAAATAAATACATCATCGTTGCAATGGACTACTTAAGCAAGTGGGCGGAAGCGTACGCCTTGCCAAACCAGGAAGCTGCCACAGTGGCCAATGTCCTTATTAAGGAGTGTATTTGTCGCTTTGGTGTGCCAATGGAGATGCATTCAGACCAAGGCAGGAACTTTGAATCTATGTTCCAGAATGTCTATAAGATTCTTAACATTCGGAAGACGAGGAGGACCGCATTACATCCGCAGTCTGATGGAATGGTGGAACGAATGAATCGAACGATAAATCGGTACCTATCGAAGGTAGTCTCTGATCACCAAAGAACCGCTTCCTCCATCTGTTCTTGTTGGCGTACCGTTCTTATATCCACGATACAACCGGCCAGACGCCCGCCAGCATTGTTATGGGACGTGAACTTCGTCTACCTTGTGACCTGAGGTTTGGTTGCCTACTAGGGGAAGATATTGCTGGAGAAGATTACGTCAGCAAGTTGAGCGACAAAATGAGTGACATTTACAGCCGAGTTCGTTTAAACATCCAGAGTGCATGAATGAAAGAGGCATACGACATCAAGGCGGAGAATGAAGGATTTCAACCTCAGCCCTGTCGTGGCTATTCACGAAGTCATGGATCAAATAAATGACATCATCTACAGGATCAGGAAACAACCAAGAGGAAAGCCGAAAGTGATCCATTTCAACCGATTGGCTGCTTACGCTGAAAACAATGATCAAATAGACGATGCTAGAGTAAGGAGACTTAATCCGCCGGAAGACGAGTTGCCTTTTGAAGACTTCTTGTATTTATATTCGAGCGGTAAAAAAGCTCGGTATGGTGTCACACGGTTTCGGCCGATTACTCCTTGGCTCACTGTGTTGCAGAAGACTTTAGGATGTCCAGGGGAATTGCGGTTGTCTTCAAAAACAAGTTTGGACGGGTCGACCAGCTACGAAGGCAGAATCCCAAAGTTGGAGAGGTGCTTGAAATTGTGGATAATGAGCAGATACGCAACAGAGGTATCTTCTATCTGGTAACGAAGCAGCTCTCACATCAGAAGCTTAACTACCCTGACGTATGGAATGCCTTAAATAAATTGAGGGATACCCTTTTGTCCAAGAAAATCATGAACCTGGCAATACAAAAGATTGCTTGTGGAGAATAATTAGAAGAATGGTGGAAGTTATCTTCAGATTTAGTGACATACACATTCTTGTCTGTTGCCACAACCTTAAAAGAACAACCGGAAGGAAGACCGTAGGCTGCTACTTCTATAGGACGTCACAATGCAAGTTTGGATCTCTATGCAAATATCGCCATGGAGCTGCGGACCATTTTTGGAATGAAAATGTTTTAAGACGGGGGCAATGTAGCGAGTACCCTCTGGATCTCGGAATGATGGCTCATCGCCGATGAGTCAGCGCTCGAGCGATCGAGAGCGGTCCGGAGCTCGCTGGAATATTCGGGAAGGCGCTTGCGTGACTTGGGTCACGTAAGCATTGAATATATAAGGCACGGCGAAGCGTCGTAGTCTCCGACTCGTAGAGTTAGTCACGCTTTGGTACTCGCGACGAAATAAATTAAATAAACTTGTACAGTAGTGATATATATATATATAAATAATTAGTAGTTAAGTGTTTAGTTAGTTTTATAGTTTCTTACCAAGAAATTCTTAGTGTTTTAAGTGTAATTAAGTTACAAAATAAATCGTTTAGTTCGTTAATAAACCAGTGCGTGTTTTAATTCACACTGCGAACAGTAGAAACGTTACATTATGTTTTTGTGCTTCATAGAAATAACACTTATTTAATAATAATAATGTATTATATAGAAATAAGTTTTTGTTGTTATTATTGCATGCTCAAAGATACTTTACCTACGTAAGAGTATATAAAACATGGACCAGATCCAAGATCTTAAAAGCATTCAGGGCTATGATGTCTCGGTCACTAACTTGAGTCATTGGAAATATCACCAAAAGTAAAGCTACATAATTTACCATTCCACTACAATAATTATCAAAATTCCCTTACTTAACACATTTATGTACTGCTTTGGGTAACTTAATAAAAACTAAATAAAACCTATCTATATTTTATTTATATAATAAATAATTCCATCACAATAATCTTAGCCTTAAACCTACCCCAAACCCTTTGTAAATCTTATGTTGACCACATATAAAAATAACTGGACTGCCAGAATGGTAAGTACTCTCTTAAGGGATTGCAAACCATACCAACCAAAGGCAAATTATTACTCATTGCCATCAAAAAACTATTTATTTTATCTTTACTATAAGAATCATAAAAAGGTGATCTTAGCAAATACAAAAGTAAGGCCACTGTCCTTTTGGAAATTTGCAACTTTTGCTCGTTGGACAGCGAATTTAACTTGCTTTTTTTACAGGAGTTGTAAAGTTGCCAACTAAAAAAAAACAATAATTGTTAATATAAAATTATTAATGGTGTCAAGCTTTGTAAATGAATCTTTACGGGCAAGCTGCAAAGTTTGTGAGCCTAGTAAAGATTAATTGCAAAGCGTGACACGTACAAACTTTTATTTTCACCTTAAGATAAAGATTTTCAAATTTAAAATTTTAATTAATATGTTAAATGTGACATTTCATTTCATAATTTGCTTTTCTACAAGCCTGTAAAACTTTACAGGTCTTATATACAAGCCCGTAAAATATTACAGGTCTGTTCCCATAATGTATCGTTTACTTGGATACAAAAACAACAAAATTAACCTATAAAATGTCATTTACTAAGAAAGTGGAAATAAATTAACAAAGTGACTAGAAGTACACCGGGAGTATCGCCATTAAACGTACACCGGGTGGAAAAAATCCTTATTTAGCATATTTGTCAATTGTATAATATTAAATGGTCGCTCAATTTCGCGCTCAATGGGGCGGGGTCGGTTGGGTTGTTGAGTTTGGGTTGGTTTGGGTAATTCATACTGACATTTCATTAATTTTGTTGTTAATTGTATTTCAATCACTTACCTAATTAAAATTTAATCAATGTTTATACAACTTGAAAGTTAGCTTAATAATTACATAATTAATATCAAGAGTTAACCAGCTGTTTACCAACTGTTATACAACTGGGCCTTAGTGTACCAATTTAATCTCAACTAATAAATTCGAAATTTTACCATCAGCTGGTATGGAAACACGCTTGCGCACAAACCTGATGTACGTTTAATGCCCGTACTCCCGGTGTACTTCTAGTCACGGCGATAAATTAAATTATAATATAATTATATCATAAACGTTATGTTACATGGCGGGAAAGTGATTTGTAACAGCTGTGGTACTCAAAGCGGTGTTTTTTGTGTTGTATTAGTACAAGATAGAAATTCAGTATGAACCGACTAAGGACTGTTACAGTCAGCGCTGGGTCTACAGCCCCAGGCCCCGTTATTCAAAGGGGACCCTGACATCTTAGTATTTAAAAGTCAGATCATTAATACACATTATACAGGTATTTTATGTAGGTCTAGATAAAATATAAAATACCTAAAATATTTCTTATCTTTTATAAAAAACATCCCTAAATATAATTTAATCTTTGTTCCTGTTCGACAAAAGTCGATGATCAAAAGATGATTTATTTTATTATATCTTTGATAGTCGCCGATAGACCAAAGTGTGTTGCACACGGCTTCCCGGCACACTTCTAAAACAATTCTTTGACGGCTAGCCATCGCAGGATTGTTTTTGAATGGCAAAAAAGGTTTTATTTCTAAATAACATTTTATTTGATTAGTTTTATTTGCATAGTGCGTATCTGAGGTAAGTTTGTAAAGAAGTTCGGAAGAACTGCAGTTGTGTATGAACAATTGAATAATTAAAAATTTTCTAGTGGCAGAAAATACCTTAGTGGATATGCTAAACGTAAGTTCTAATCAAATTACACAATTTATTTAAATATAAATAATTTTGGAAGTAAAGTTAAAACATACCTATCATCTATAGGAGTATAATAGGTATTTTTGTTTGCATTGTTTTATATTTTGTTAGTTTTATAAGCGTAAGTTAAGCCGGCGCCACACAATCGGATATTTGACAAACACGTATTTGTACATGTATTTGCCCGAATATTTGTAATTGTTGACAAACTGAACTGTCCACATATTGTCCAAATATGTGGATCAATGCTTTGGATATTTGGCGTCTTTGATTTCTGTTTATTTACTGACTTCTATCGACAAATATGTATATTTGTCGCAAATATAAATAATTGTAGCTTTTGTGCAAATATTTGCCCATCCACATATTCGAATATTTGCCAAATATACAAATATGTGGTGCCGGGTTTCTACGCTCAAAAACTAACAAAACATATAGGTATATACGCTCAAAAATATTTAAAAAAAAAATTAAATAAAAAAATGTTGAGAAATGTTGATTTTAATAAGTTATGCTATGAAAATTCATGAATTAAATAATATCCTTGTTTCTAAAAACAATGTACACTGCGCGTCAAATTTAACGCATAATAAGTAAAAAAAACTAACTCTAAAACGCCTTTACCAGTCTTTATGAAATTTTGTATAAAAACAGTTCAACTTATATCTCATTTTACGTGTTCGAGGGTTTTTCGAGAAAATAAAACTCCTGGACCAAATTAACGCAACATCATAAATTTGCCACATTTTTTATGATATTTTTTTTAATTTATGATCCGATTTGAATGATTTTTTTTTACATTGTAGGTGTGTTCCATGACAATGTCATAATTTTCGCTATTTATGATAAAAAGTTCATTTTCGATTTATACCGGGTGTAATAAAAATGTAATGTTTTTTCCGAAAATTCTTATCACCTTGTGGAGTAGGTATACTAGCTACCGAAACATTTAGCAGTTGACATTAGACGGTAGGTCCATATTTCGCCAACATTTTCTTTTTTGGTTTACTTCATTATCTCTGTTATTAAAGGAGATACGCCGTTTTATAGCGTAACATGTTTTTATACTTTATTATTCAATACATTTATTGTTAAATGTTTTCAAATTCAAATTTATTTTCATTCTTGGAACCATACAGCTATAGAACATATCAAATTAGAAAATATAAATCTATCTACGTTAGGTACATAATAACAGTATAATAAGAATAGTATAACAATAATAGATTAGGTAAAACTAAAATGAAATAAAATAAAACTTGATCATCATGCATAATTAATTAATAGTAAACATATATTCCAGGCAAGCTACTTTCCCCAGATGGTGTCTCCCATTTAAAATCATTAATTTTATAGTAGCATTTTTCAATAAGATATTGTACAATATTTTTCTGAAATAAGTTTTTTATATATTTTACTTCTTTAAAGAATTGGAAAGCATATTAAAAAGTTTGGCCCCTCTGATAAAGGGATATTTGTCATAAGTCAGTTGAAGCCTACGGGATGGTATATGAATATTATTTTCAATTTTTGTGTGGTGACTATGAAGTAGGTTGTTGCTGCTATAGTCAGGCCGTAAACATACGTGAGAAGCACCAATATTAATACACAGGGTAGTGTTAAATGTTTTTATATGTTTGAAATAGTTCGGTACATGGGTAATTGAGGAGCATCCGTGCAAAACCGGCTATATCCAATTTAATAAAATGCTGGGAAAATGGCAAAAACTCCCCGTTTTCTGGCATTTACAGATAAAAAAAATGCATCTTGAGTTTTGAGCCCACAAAACTTAATTAAGGTGCATCTTTTTTATCTGTAAAGGCCAGTAAACGGGGAGTTTTTGCCATTTTCCCAACATTTTATTAAAATGGATATAGCCGGTTTTACACGGATGCTCCTCAATTGTACTTCACCCCCGCCACTAGTTGTGGAATAGTTAGGGTACGTTTTAGGCATTTGATAAAATAATGAACTTAATTGTTTGGTTAAATTTTGGATTGAGTTTTCCATGTAAGAGTGTTGTCTATGGAAACACCTAGAAATGAGACGCAATCAGTCTGTTCCAGGCTGGTATTATTAAGAGACACATTAACCGAGCTAACGTTTCTATTTTGAGCAGTATGAAATCGCATATAAGTTGTTTTAGAGACATTCAGGAAAAGACTGTTTGCGTTAGACCATGTTGATAGATGATTGCCAAGTCAAGGTAGTGATTGAGGTCTTTCTCGGATTTAAAAGAAATTAACAAAGAGGTATCGTCTGCATACATGACAATAAATTGTTTTATATATGCTGGAAGATCGTTAACAAAAAGTAGGAAGATGATCGGTCCCAATATGGACCCTTGCGGGACGCCCACATCCATATGGACCGGCTCTGAGCGATAATTTTTTATAGTAGTATCTGTTTTATGCTTGATTTGGACATTGTGTACGTTTACCTAGATAAGATTTTCGAGTAGCAACTCGTGTCTGTCAGTCAAATGCCCTGCTGAGATCACAAAAGATCCCAACAGAGCGCTCGCCTGCGTCAATTTTATCGAGTAGGTTACTAAGAAAAGACAGCGTCGCTGTTTGATTAGAGCGATTTTTTGTGAAACCATGTTGGGAAATGTCAATAAGCTGGTTTTTGTGTAAGAACGTAACTAACCTGTCTAGCATACAGTATTCGAAAATTTTAGAGAATGAGGGGGCAATGCTGATAGGGTATAATCCTCGACTAGTTTGCAATCGCCTTTTTTAAACACTGTTGTTACAAGACTATGTTTCAATTTGGATGGGAATAAACCCTCCAGGAATGAATTGTTTATAATGTGAATAAGAGGGGCGGATATATGCTCGGCAACTTTTTTTAATAAGAAAACTGGAACATCATCAGTGCCTGCAGACCTTTTGTTTTTGAGTTTCAATCTCAGCATGCGCTGCACTTTTTCTTGAGTAAATGGTGCAATAAACAAACTGTTCATCACATGTTTGTAATGTGATGTATCAATCTCAGTTTAGGGAATTTTATTTAATATACTTATGGGAGTTGCTTTAAAGAATGTATTAAATTCATTGGCTACAGACATAGGACCATCCACTCTGCCCAAATCTGCCTTCAGTGTGATATTATTGTGAACCCATGCTCATTAAAACCTGCCAGGCAGTTTTAGAAATGTTTCCACAATTAAAAATTCTAGATTGATAATGTTCATTTTTTGTTTTTGAGACCAGATTTGCATGTATTTTCTTTTTAGTTAAATATGTGTTTTTTAATTCTGGGAAGTGCCTTTGTAGGCTGTATAGATCTATAAGTTTGGTACTGGATTACTTAACAATCTTATTTACCCACTTATTGCTATTATTGTTGGTTTTGCTTGCGTTATGAGGAAAAGCATGCTCAAAGTAAAACGCAAAAACATTTGAGAACATATTAAATTTTTCTTCAGTGCCATGAGGAGAGTATACCTACATTCGCCCAATTTAAATTGGTGAGAGATTCACAGAATGAATTTACATTTTTCCTG